TTTTTTTTTTTTTGCTGATATTTGAGACATTTGAACACTTTAATATGGCCACTCAGGAATTGTGTGAAGACTTATTTCGCACTTCTGCGCGACCATCCTATCAGGTAACCTATGTTCACCATCTACTGTATTTTTACATCGCCTCTTAGGTTAAAATTCAAAAAGCAGCTTTGATGATGAACCCGTCGCTGCTTTGCGGTAGTACTAGAGTTTCTGTATTCGAAAATTCGAAGCGGAGCTCGGCGGGATCTAAAAAATAGGTTTTTCCAAGGTAATTTTAGCTCTTTGTGACTGGGGGTGAAGGTGGGGGAAGGGGGAGGGGGGAGAAGCTCTAAAAAAAACTTTTTTCTGAGGCAACGGCTGCTTATGAAAATTTTAGAAAATTGGAAAATTTGTGCTTTTTCTTGGATTATTTAGGTCTTTAAAAAATTGGAAATTTTTGCTTTTTCTTGGATTATTTAGGTTTTTCAAAAATGTTGATACTTTTTACTTTCTATATATTTTAAGTGTAGCTGATAGCCTTTGGGTGTTTTCTGACATTTTCGAGGAGGAGATTGGCGAACATGGATTGTGCGGAGTCAACTTTTTTCGGCCGCTTTAATATCCTTCAAACGTGGATTTCACCTTACACTCCTGTCTCTCTCTCTATTTAATACGATATTACTATCGTCTGCTGTATTATTACGATTTTTTGTAGTCTTAATATCCGAAATTTTCAATGCCCATCACAAAATCTTCATTTTAATACTGTATTTTTTTTTTCGTGAACTTTTATATTCAAAATCCTCTTATCGTAACAGTAGGATTTTTAAGATCCCGGTCATGCACTCCTGATTTCTCTTATTTCTTCCTATTCTTTTAATCGGTTTTTTTTTCTTTTAATCGTGCGATTATCATTATAGCCTGTTCTTTTGCTGATTCATTACAGTACATTTTACACTTCGAGTTCGTTTTTTTTGGGTAATTTTTATGAATAACAAAATTGGATTTGAAATTCTTTTTTTGGCAGTTTGAAATTAGAAGTTGGGTGATATAGGACGGATGTATGACTTTTGGGAACTGGGAAAATGAGGGGAGGGGGGAGACTGTTGAAGTAGTAACAGGTATAAGAGTACACGTTTGCTGGATGTTTTGGTCACAGGTACGGCGAATTTTGACTGAGATAG